GTTTGTTTTTGCAGTCTATTCTGGCACTCACAGAAAAAGCAGAAGGTTTTTCCCAAGCACTGAGTTTGCAACCAACCTTGGAACTCTGCAAGCTGCGCCAAGAAGTCTTTTCTGGTTTCAAGGTGAAGGAGGAAAACAATGTCCAAAATTCAGTACCACCAGGAGAAGTCACACCAACAGGAACTGTTTCCAGTAAAAATCCGTATGTTTTGCTAAAAAGAAGAAAAGCTGCAGATTCCCCCCAGAGAAGGCGCTACCCACTGCGGCGGAGGAAGATCACTCTCAGTGCATGAATTTCTCATTTTGTATTTTCACATTGGAATCTCAGTTGTACATCTGTTCCATCTTTTTTCTTAGAACTCATCTCCCCTCAGTGCTACACATGGGAGCTTCTTTAATTAGTCTTTGACCTCTTAAATATTTCTACTTTTGCTGACATGCTGATGGTATATGGTACATGTACCAGTAGCATCCCATATCCAGCAAGTGTATTTTCCATTTGACTCATTTTTTGCTCTTATATTGCAGTTTTTAGCTTGAGTCCTTGTGCTTCTCAGAGTTCTTGTGCATGCTTTATGTATGTGGGCAGTTTTTTAGGAAACTACCTCTCTAAAGAGGTTGGAGAATGTGTAGTTCTCCTAATGCACCTTAATTAATTACTAAGGCATGTGGCTTTTATGTTAATGAATTAATTGACACTGCAGCAAAATTAAATCACCAAATTTGATGCGATGTTGGAGTTTTAAGGAAGTCCATGCACACATGTGATATTAGTCCTTGCTATTCTACCTTTCCTGAATGTAGGTCATCTAGGCTTATTTATAGTCATGTTTGTTGAAACTTGGATTTTTAATAATTGTATATATTTACTTGCAGTGTGCTTTTCTGAACAGGAATTCAACCATCAGAATTTTAGGGTCTGATATATCACTTCATGTAATCCAATTATGCAGCCTGGTGTTTTCCTGAGCAATATTTCTACCTAAGAAAGGATCTTGACTTGGGTTATGTTTGCATTTGTGTTGTTTGACTAAACTTTAAAGATCAGTAGAGGCTACCAGTAAATGGTATTTACCTGAGCTAGCTTACTTTTGTTTTCTATACTCATTAGTACCTAGAAGATTGCAAATTAGTACTAAATTGAGCATTGTGCCTTAACCATTTATAACTTTTTCTAGTTTATGGTTGCATGTGCCTGCAGTAAATACTCCTGTCTAGTATGTAATATATTTGTAACACAGTAAATGGAGGGGGGGGTTTTAGAAGCTTTCTTAATGACATATTTGGTGCTAAGAAGACAGGTCCGACCTAATGTCTAAGAGACTGAGAATTCTCAAGAAAACAGATTTTAGCATCATTTATTTCATAAAAGTGAGCATCTGTACTGATTTGTATATATAATCATATGTAAATATTTTTCCTGACCTTGTATATACAAATGTAAAAGTGAGCATCTGTACTGAGACTTTGTATATGTAATCATATGTAAATATTTTTCCTGACCTTGTATATACAAATGTGTGTTTTTATATGAAGTAAATTAAATCAATTAAGGAAGATCAAAGCTTCAGATAATATTGTCAGTTCTAATTCTGGAATAGATGGTGGCTGAGCAGTGAGCGTACTTCAGAGGACATCTGTGTTAAATTCTGGCTTGAGTAACTGAAGTAGTTCCATGTACTGCCTTTGAACTCACAAGTGTTATTAATCTCGGGGCTGCAAAGCTTCTCGTGTGAGAGAGGACAGGATGTGAGAGGGACTGGAGCTGCAGGGCTGTGGAACGTGTGGCTCAGACAGCTTCTCACACAGCCACTTGCTATTTTGAGTGCCCGTGCTGTGTGCGGCGTTGGAAATCCCTGCTTCAGCTTTCTTCATATAGATCCTGGGTGTTGCTAGGCTAAGGTGAGCGCTGCAAGATTTTGCATGGCAACTGTTACAATATTTGGCCATTTCCTCTGTTAATAGGAATATTCTGTGCTCTTGTCTGCAACTGATAGGCAAGTACAGAAAATAACTAGGAATAGGTATATACCTCTTCAAAGAAGTTCTGTCAGAAATAGCTGGGATAAGACAAATGCCATAAGAAGTAAAAAGGGAAAGCACTGTGGTTTAAGACTTAATAAATAAATTCATAGATTCACACTACAGTGCATGTTTCTAGTTAGAGACTGAGGGATAGTTGGCCTGCACAGGATTTCAAGGAAGTGGGAATGAATGCCCTGTTAAAGCAGTCAATCTTTGTTCCCAAAGCCCATGTTGCAATTGCAACTGGGTGGAAGAAGAAAAATGCATCTGGAAATGCTGGCCAAATGGCCTAAAGAAAAAGATAAAGCAATCAGGGTTCCAAGTGCAGCGTATAAACTAGGAATTTAAAAATCTGGTGGCCAAGCAGTGCTGGAAAGAGAGCCTCCCTTGAACTGAAAGTTCTATGATGAGCTAAACTCAACATGAATGTTCAGCAGTTTTTCCAATGATTATTTAAAAATTCTACAGCCAGTGATACCTGCAACTAGCTGTTCTTCCCATTGGCAGAAATATATAAAACACTTCATTTTCCCCCACTCCAGTAGCCTTTTGTCCTTCAGTTAACTTTTCATAGGAATTGGCAGTGTTGTGCAAGACATGTCTAATCAGGCTTCTACTGAAATGTCACAACAGCCAAGCTTCTTATTTTTAACTTGGGACGAATTGGTATTGCATCAAGAAATGTCTGGTAGTTTTTCTTTATATAGCCTTTGAATTTTGTAAGACAGCTCAATGGTGATGGATGCTTGGGTTCATTTGCAAACTGAGTTTGAATTTCTTGGCTTTCAGGGGCGAGACAGAACATCTTGCTGTTTGTTGGTGTGTCCTGTCTGCAATGTGCTTTTTGCTCATAAGGCTGGGCCATCCCCAGCCAAGAAAAACTTGCAAATTGGAGCAGCATCCACGCATGCTTTTGCTGTGTGTACCTTCTGAACAAAGGGGATTATGAACTCTAGAGGGGAAGCTCCTCTTCCAGAAATCTTCACATGGATCCTAACATCTGTTTGGAAGCCTGGGCACTCTGAGACCCAGTTCTGACCTGTGCCATTCTCCAGAAGAGCCGTGCTGTGCTAAGCTGTGATCAGACACTAGTCTGCATGTGTGTAGGCTGCTTCATGCAGACAAATATCACTGATAAACTGCCATTATAAAATGTAAGCTCAGCTGACTAGGCTGCTTTCTGGGCTGATTTTCTCTCCTCCACAGAAACGCTCTGCCTTTACTGCTGCACTACCTGGAATTACTGTGTAGGCATTTCTGCAGATGTACCAGAGATAGCTTTAATGCTCAGTAGAAACTTGTTCCCACAAGCAAATTTTGATTTGTCATTTCCTTTGTCATTTGTTCTGAACAAGAACAGACTATTCAAGCTCAAGGGGACTGTCCCCTGGCTTGTCCCATGCTTGTGTTATCCTGGAAACCTTATTCTGCAGCTGCTGGGAATTATTCAGTGAAGCAGATATTTATTCAGGACTAATAAATTCTTGGTGAGCTGCTCATGATTTGATGTTGACAGGTAGCTGGTGCAGGTGCCATTTGCAGCAGCATTGTTCCTGGAGCATGGGGTTCAAAGTCCCTCTGTGGAAGGGGACTTTCTTTCCCACAGATCACTCCAGAGGACTGTTGAGGTGTTTTATCCACATGGTTCATAGCAAGAGAACGTACCTGTTCCCTGAGCCTGTGAAAATACCGGCTTCTAGTCCTATTTCAACTGAGCTTAAGCTACAAAGGCAGCAAGATCCCAGAGCTCTCTTTTTAAGCAGCTGTCCCAACTAAGTCTCTGTTCCTGCCCTCGTGTACTGTTTACCTTTAACTGCATGAGGTGTAGTTTAGCAAGATTAGGCTCTTTCAAAGGGGCAGTTGAGAGCAATTCACCCTCTAATTCTCTGCCTGGTGGCCAGGGCTGCTTTCCAGGATGTGCTGGTTTGGATCTGCTCCCGTGGAGAATGTCACTGAACCCACACCTTACTGCTGCCTCCATGAGCCGCCCTTGGTGAACATCCTGCTCTTGGCACATTAGATGACAAAGGGAGAAAGAAGCAAGACTGCTTTTGAAAAAACCAGGGAATGCCCTGTGAGATGCTTGGGAGCCCCAGCACAGTCTGGGGCTGCAGATTAGGTCAGGGTATATTGGCAAGAGTGTGTTTCCCAGCTGTGGTCACCAGCCATCTTCCCATGGCTGATAGGGTGGGAAGACTCACAGGGACTCAGTCCTCCAGGGTTGGAGAAGCTCTTTGAAAAGTGCAAAATCAAATAAATGCATGGGTAGCCTGTAGGGTTGAGACACAAGCTGCTTTGAGGTGGAACAGCTGGGAAGAAGCACTTCAAACCAAGGAAGTCATGCTCAAGTCTTTTAGTCACAGTCCCAGAGCCTACCAGGAAACATGTGGCAGAGCACAGGCGTCAGTTTGACCCTTGGACTCCAGGGAACCTGGTTCCCTCACCTTTAGCATGAACTGTTAGCCAGATCTTCCTGGAAGGATAGTCTATATTTACTCAGTTTGCCAACTCTAACTTCATCTAAGCTGGATGACGCAAGCTGCTGAGGAAAACAGAAAAATAGGGAAGTATCTGATTTCTTGAGATACCTGGGGCTTTGTGACTGACTGCCCTGCAGCTTGGGGGCACATACCCTCCTCACATGGTCATGTGTTCACCTCTGTGAGCTGAGCACAGCCAGGAGCGTACAAATCTTTTTGCAGAAGAGCAAGGATGTTGAAGTAGCTGTCAGTGCAAACACCGCCTTTCAGAGCATAAGGCCAAGGTAACTGTGCAATTAAAACGCAGAAAGGTGTTCCGAGATGTAAAAGAAACAGTGTTCTGTTAAGATACTCTCGACAGAATAGTAGAAGAGAAAGATTTTTGTCTGCAGCAACTGTATGTCCAGCAGTCTTTGTCTGGCTTTGCCTTTACAAGAAGTCCGTCGCATTTCCTTATTATTTAAAGGAACAGGGTGAGTAGCGAAAGTGAAAATCGCTTTATCCCAGCACGGATGCCGTGTCCTCACACCCACGATCCCGGGCTGCGCTGGCTGTCCCCCATGTGGAGCTGCCGCCGCTTCAGAGAGCCGATGTCAGAGGAGCGCGGCGCGCAGGAGCGGCAGCAGGTGAGCGGCGGGAGGCACACGGGGGCGAGGCCGGCTCCCGGGGGCAGCCTGGAGAGGAGAGAAACTGCGGGGAGTTTATTTCTGCAGGCGAAAGAGCGACTCGGGCCTCCCGGAGGGGCGTCGAACGCAGCCGGCCCCCGGGGCTGGGGCTCTCCGGGGGGATTTTCAGGCAGCTCCTGCCCGGCAGCGCCGTGCCCCGGACTTTCCCCCGGCTCCCGGCGGCTGACGAGAGCCGGCGGTCCCGGGGGGCGGTCCCCGCGGGGGAGCAGCGCGGGATGGGGCGGCCGGGTGCTCCCGGGTTCCCGATGCAGGCGGGCGCCATGTGGGCGGCGGCTCCGCCCCGGGCCGCTCCTGCACCTGGCTGCGTCGCCCCCGGCCCGGGGCGGCGCGTCCCCTGCCCCGGCCCGACCCGCCCCGGCCCGCCCTGCCCTTGTACTCCCTTCCCTCCGCTTCCCGGCAGTCGCACCCCCCGCGGGCCGGGGGAGCCCGGCGGGCGGCTCGGCGGCTCCGGGATGTCGTGCGCCGTCCCGGCGGCGGCGGGGGCCAGCGCGCTGTCCCGGGGCGCGGCGGCCGAGGGCGGCCAGCAGGTAGGGACCGGGCGGCGGTGGGCGCTGCGGGCGGGAGAGCGGGCACATGGGGCTGAGTCACGCCGGGCAGCGCCGCGGCGGGGATGCACGCTGCCCCTGGGTTTCGGCCCTTCTTTTCCCGGGAGGCGGCCGCCGTGCTGGCTCTTCCCAGGTGGGAGCGCGGGCGAGCCGCCGGCGATGCGCGGAAAGCGCCGGGGCACGGCGCGGGCAGCGGCTTTTCCTGAGGCGCGGGCAGCCGGGAAGGGAGCAGGGCTTTCCTTCACGCTGCTCGCACCTCCGCCCCGTCGGCCGCGCTGGAGCGAGGCAGGTGTAAAGTGCTGCCCGCCGGGCAGAGCGGCAGTGCCCGTTCCCGCTCGGGTACCCAGCTTCCCCCATCAATAGCAGTGCCCCTGCTAAGCGCTGCATCCCCGGGCAGCCTGCCGGCTTCCACCCCTCCGCTTCGGGTCCGCCTGTGCAGTGGGGCAGAGGGATGCGCTGCTCTTTGCAGAGATCTTGCGGTCTCTGGGAGACCGAGGATCAGCGCTGTAAAACTGGAAGTGTTCGTTCTCAGAAAGTTACACACCCGACTTCGGTCATCTTCTATGTGCACCTTGCAAACTAGTGAAGTGTTTCTGGCTGATGTCTTCCAGAGTCGTGAAGAAGATGACAGGAAAGTAAGGAGGAGAGAAAAAAATCGAGTTGCTGCACAGAGGAGCCGGAAGAAGCAAACTCAGAAAGCAGATAAACTTCACGAGGTGAATGGGTACTTGGTGCTTTGCAGGCATGGCTTGGGTACCAAGCACGGGACTTTACAATAAACAGGAATTCTAAAGCAGGCGTGGGCCTGTCTTCATACAATCCTGCTCAGAGAGCTGTGGGTGTGAAGCACAGAAGGTGTGCTGTGGGATGCCTGGTTGGGAACTCCCAGACACTGATGCTGCTCTTGGACAGTGCAGCTCTGCCTTCAGTGACACTGCTAGGAAGAGAGAGACATGGTCCAGCCCATGCCTCATCCTCCCTCTTTTGCTCTTCCTGTGATCACCCAAAGAATGGGATCACAGGGCTCCTTTGGGCTCAACCAGAACCATTTTCTTCTGTACTAGTGTTAAGCTTGTCACGTTTGCTGTGACAGTGGATGAATTCTTGCTGTCTTACAAGGTAGAAAGTGATGGAAGGGGAGGGGGCCATGCAGTGGCAATGCTGGCTTAAATCAGTTCTAGAACTGTGGTGCCAGCACTGCCACTCAGCAATGGGGCTCCCAGACATACCCAGTTGAAAAGGTTTCTTAGGAACTTGGGAACCTGCAAGTGTGGGAGCTCAGCTTGGCTAGCTGTTACCCTTGTATGCTTTGAAAAGTAACAGTGGGTGTTCAAACAGATACAATGAAAGTAATTGATTCTTCCAGAAACTCTTAATATCACAATGTGGTGTGCTTTTCTTGTGTCCCCAGTGCAAATACTGGAGGACAGGGATCCCTTTGCTCTGGTACAGTGCTCTTGTAGCCAGGAGTCAGCTTTTGGGGTAAGCGACAGTTTTGCAGCACACTGCCACTGTGGCTGAGTCAGTTGCTCAGCTCTGAAGGTTCATCACAGGCTTTTTTCTTTCTCACTGTGGAAAGATCTGCCAGCAGTTAACAGAGAGTAAGAGGGACAATGTGGGGAGTTTTGGGCTTGGTTTTTTCCCAGATCTCCTCTGAGTCAGCGCCTGAGAAAGCCAGGTGCAGGGTAGTTCTGAAAAGGGGTAACCTCTGGCTTTTGTGGAATAATTTTTGGGCCCTGTGCCATCCTGCAACCTCTCTGATGTTCCTCCTGAACTTGAGGATATTCCTTGTGCTGGGAATTTTCATTTTGAGGCACACAGGTTTTGCCAGCTCTAGGCAGATCTGGTTGAATAGACATTCGTTCTTAGCAAGAACAATGTGACAGTTTCACCTCTGAAAATGAAACAGAGCAATGGGACAGCAACATTTATTCCAAAACCTGGGACCATGGGGCTTGGGGCAACAAGAGATGAACAGAATGACAGTGGGGGTCGGACAACTTGGCTGAGTTTGGTTCCAATGCTGTGTTAGGAGGACTGTGCCTGTTTTACTCTGTGAGAGGTGGCTCAAGGGTGTGAGGGAGGGCAAGGAGCCCAAAGTTCTGCAGCAAAGGGGAGCAGAGGCAGTGCCAGGCTGCCCAGAAGAACACTTCATGAGGTGCTCTCCCTGCTGCCTTTTAAGGCACGTGTAGGCTTTGAAGTTTGCTCTGAAGCTTTCCCAGGAAGGTGAGATTGATTGGGTGAATGTTGAGCCTTGGGCCAGCAGCAAGACATCCATCTGCAGGTTTTCAGTGGCCTGGCTCTGAACCTCTAGCTCTCTGCTCTTCAGGATGGGAAGGCTTAGAAGCAGGGACACTTGAGAAACACAGTTATAAAAAAATGTGGCGCAGGAGTCTTGCATCCATCACATGGATGCTGCAGAGCAACTCAAAATTCCTCTGCAGTTAATAGCAGCTTATTTATTGCCAGAGAAGCTTTAGCTCAAAAGCAGACAGGTCAGGGATAACCAAAGGCAGTGGTCTGCCTTTGGTTATCCCGAAGTGGTGACAAAATGAGTCTGGCTTCAAGCTGGTATGATGCTTCCCTCCTCCTGAGTTCTCGGGCTTCTGAGCAGGTGGCTACAAGCTCTGTCTGCCAGGCTTGGAGGAGAGCACTGGACGTGCTGTGCTAGCCTGGATAAATGGCTTTTCCTGGCACTGCCCTGGGGCAGGGGCTACCTTTCTCTCACCAGCAGTTCCAGGCACCGGGTTTTCCCAGCACTTCTCAGCAGGCAGTGCTTTCATTTTCTCGATCTCACCGTGCAGAGTCCATTTTGGCCCTTCCCATCAGAGACAGCCCAGAGTGGAAGAGGCCACCATGGGGACACAGCCGTCCATGCCTGAAGCCCTGGGCTCCTGGGAGACTCTGAGGGCAAGCGGCACCTCCTGGTCTTCAGGGCCATGAAAGGAATTGCAGTGTGATCAGGGCACAGGTGGTAAAGCACTTGCCCTGTTCCAGCACCCAGGCTGGGTCTGCCTTTCTGAGCACTATGTAAGTTGTAGTAAGAAACACTGTTTTTCTACTGTTATGTGAATGTACTCAAGGTGGAAGCACTGAAAGGAATGTTTTGACTGTAAGTTGTTGGTTTTTTTCTTTCCCCTCCTTCCAGGAATATGAGTCTCTTGAGCAGGAAAATACCTCCCTGAAAAGAGAAATCGGAAAGCTAACAGATGAAATGAAACACTTGAGTGAAGTGTTGAAGGATCATGAAAAGATCTGTCCACTATTGCACTGCACCATGAACTTTGTGACCATACCAAGGCCTGATGCACTTGCCAGCTGCCTACCAAGATGAGTGCTCTCCTCAATCACCTCTCAATGTGATGTGGGAAAGTGTCATTAACAGGAGGTTTCAAGAACTGCCTAGTGTGCAGTTATTCCATCGAAGAGGGCTGGACTCAACCACGCAGCTCTACTCGACATTGAATTGTTACAGTCTTCTAAATCTCAGGAAAACACCAGTATGGAAAAAGAAGACAGTTTGAACAGCAGCTTCTTACTTGGTAGACTCTTCAAGCCATGGTTTTGCCTTTGGAAATGTCAAAGTGCCGTGCAGCCCACTATGGAATGATGGAGAGTAGACAGGGAAAAGTACCGACCTCAGACTGGGATGCCTTTCTCCCACACATCCACTGCCAGTAACCCTTTGTCACTTGTCACCCATGCATGTCAGGATCTGGCTGCTGGGTTTTGTCTCTCTAAACAGGTTTGGTTAATAAAAGTGATGTCTCATCTCCATAATGTTCTCCACCTTCTTCAGTAATCTTTATAGCATCTCTGCTTTTCGTTTGCTGGTCGATGCCAAAGTCTAATGCTAATCTTCCTGTTAGTTGTTCTATTATTTACTTATCTCCTCTTCATTGATTCCTCTTTTGAGGTGTGTGTAACAAAAGAGTTTTCTTAGTCTTTAATATTCCAAATCATCAGTCCTGCTGGCATTAGTCCTTGGAGTGTTGTATATCCTAAAATATGGCTTGGTCATTTTCTGATGATGATTGTCTGCTCTGTGTGGAAGAAAAGCAAACAGAGTTTGATGGTTTTAAACATTGTTTTAAAAAGCAGATTTTAAAATTTACTCTTTTAATGCACCCACTGGAAATGAACAAGTATCTTCATCCTTCCTTCATCTTGCTTATTGCCTCTGGAAGATTATGTCTGTGGGTTGACTTTTGCTAAGCATTTTGTTCTATGTCTACACTGAAGGTGTTTGATAATTGCTTGAAAGAAAAACATTCTGTTTATTTTTCTTTTTAGTTACAAAAAGGAAGTATGATTGCAATGTTATTGAGAAATACACAGAAAAATGTGTTTACTTTCTCTGAAGATTCCTAACAGTGTCAGCCTCTTGAAATGTGGATGCTGTAGCTTGGGATCCAGCAGTGAGTCTTTTTCTCACAGTATTTCACAGTCAAAGAGCACCTTTTGATAATAAAAATCTCCTCCCCATTGCCAACTCTCTCACTTCAGCATTTGGATTTTTTTTTTTTATTTTAATTAAACTCATGGGATTCATTTCTCCCCTCACCAGGATCACAGTATTTATCAGCAGCATATGATCTGAAATGTCTGAATTTTAATTTTTTGTAAACTTTTTTTTTGTTTCTTTGGTAGAGTGGTGCACTGCTGATCACTGCCAAGACAGAATTTGGGAAACCATTTAGTCAACTCTGCCTTCTAAAGGGCCCTCTTGTACCATTTTCTTAGGCTAGAAACTCCAGATGAGCTGTTGGCTTCTTTATATTATTTGTTAGGTTGTTCCCAAGAGAGTTTCCAGAATTTGCATCTGCAGCCTAAATGCTGTCTTCAAAGTTCCTTATGGTCCCATAAGAACTGAGTCATCCCACAGAGAGAATCTGCAGCAGTCCCTCCCTAGGAAAACAAAAGTCTCAGTACAGTTCAAGGTTTGCATTTTGGGTAATGTCCTTGAAACTGTTCTGTGTGTCACCCTTAAGAATGGAAGCTATTTTATGAATATTCATCCACACACCCACATTCCCTCAGGCACTGGATGCCACTGTGTAATTTGGGCAGAGTAGAGATGTAATGGAGAAGGAGTAGCTTGGTGGAAATGAACAACATTCACTCTGGGAAAATCTGTCATAATTTAGGGTGAAGGGAGAGACGGAATGTTTCATATTGAGGTCAGGACTGTACAAAGCTGGTCTCACATATAGAGCCCTGTAGGCCCTCAAAAATGGGAGGAAAGATCAGCTAGTCCAAGACAGTTCATCCCAGCAGAATCCTTCTAAAGAATTTTGTTCCACAGATACTCTCTTCCAGAAGTAGAAATCTAGTGCCCTGAGTAAAATCCTCCTCCTTACACATTTATTCTTCTAAACATCTGTCTAGAAACTGACTCCAGCTTATCACTTGGTGTCATATCCAAGTTCTGTGGTAGACTCCCCATCAGAAAGCACTGTTCTTGTTCTGCAGTTAAAGTTTTAATCCATGGTGTCTGCACCGGAGTTCATTGCTTTACAAATTATATAATGTCTATGCAGAGTGTACAGCGGAAGACAGCAGAATTCTCAGTAATGTGTGATGGAGAAAACAAGCTAAGTCCAAGAATATGTTGCTGTTCCTTAGAAGGGCTGGGAGCCCTGTGGGAGTCCTCACTGTCCCCACTTTTTTCCCGCAGCCTCAGGGTACAACTCCAGCTCTTCCTGTGCATCATGCCCATTAGTAACAGTAGGGCATGGGTTGCTTCTTCCTCCATCTCTTGCTTCACTTTTTTTTCCCAGGAATATTTCCAAAGGGCCTTTTGCATCATTCTTCTTTTTGATAGAGGCACTAAGGCACGTCACCAATCAGTGTATTGTGTGATTAATGTTCTAAGGCAGCTGGGAGACTCAAGTAAAAGAAGTGAGCAAAATTAGTATCCCAAGCCACTTAAGTCCAACATTCTGGTATATTTATAGAATTAATGTGATAGCTGAATCATGAGCTGACAAAGACCATGAGCTGTTAAAGCAAAGGCTTATGTGTCCTTACACATGCAGCAATTATGCTTTTTGCAGGAGATTTTTGTAAGGATATTGATTTACAGGAACCTTCAGAACAGAAAGTGTGTCCTGGAGCCTGGGATAATTTTTACATGAATAGGGAACCAGAAAGGAGAACAGAAAGGAAAAAGCCCATTTGTTAAGGAAGCAACAGAAAATTCTTTTTCAGATCCAAACCTCTCCTTTTGCAGCAGTGTTACACCATCAAAAAAAAAAAAAAGGTTTCACATCTATATATGGCTAAAATCCCACTTGATGTATGTAGCTTCAAAAAGCTTCCAGTTGGCTTGACTTGTTCCCCACAAAAATGTGGTCTGTATCACATCCACATGATTTTCAGATGCAGGTAAATAGGGAAGATCTTTTCTATATTCAGATCATGGTTCATGTGGGGTGCACTGTGAATTGCAGTCTTATTTGTGGATGTATTATGTAGATGAAGGTTGCTAGCAAAGCTGGATTTTGCCTCTTAGGTTCATAGTGAAGGTTACAGTTTGTAACCTTCAATTCAGTGTGGATTTCTTTTTTTGCATTTTCTATGAGTGTAATGAAGAAGCAAAGTGCTTACTGCAAACTTACAGACAAAAGTATTTATTTAAGGAACAGACTGAGTCCAATTCAGCTATTTATCTATTAATTTATTTTGGTTTTAGTTGGGTCAGATTGAAAATTATTAGATTTTAAAAAGTTAATTTTAGCCTCCAAAGCTAAAAAAATCAACAGAAAGGCAAAGTCAAGCTTCCCATTACTGCTCATGTAACAGAGATCAATTGTTATACCTCAAGAGAGCTTATTAGAAAGTCTTGCTCCTTCCCACTGGTATTTTACATTCATGCCTGTGAGCATGCCTGTGCCTTCATGTACTTATCCAGTCTCACTGAAAGTATGTCTTAAAAAAAAAAAAATTAAACCAGCCTGTTCTACAGACTTTGTGTTCTTTGCCCTGGTACCAGTTACTGTAATTTAGTGCTCCTTCTGCAATACCTCCTGATCTCATCTGCATTTGGTACTTGCACTAGTCTTTGTAGTCTCATTATTTCAAATGCCACTTTTTTTTTTTTTTTTTTTTTTTTTCTTCCTGTATCCTTCTGTTTCTGCATAGCTTGGTGACAACATGACTTAATAGGATCAGTTTTAGAGAATCAAGGCTAATCTGTAGGGCCATATAGAAATTGCACTTCACTTGTATACCCTGTATATGATTAAAGGCTTTGATGTGTGCCTTGTTTTGTCACTCAAGTATTAAGGAAGGTGTCTGTGCAGTCTTTTAAGAAGTGCTTAAAGGTTATGCCACCTTTAAGTTTCCTGTCCATAGATGAATGCTTTGCTGCATGGCATTTGGGGTTTCCATATGTGAATCAGTCTTGAATTTCTGTCTCAGTGAAAGTGATAGATAAAACAATCATTAAAAAATCCCTTTTCTCTTCTTCCCATCAGTGCAGTGATATAATTCCTGTTACAGAAAAGAAGCATGTCTGATTAGCAGGAGAAGTGGGGGGTTTATTTTCTGTCACAAAGATTAATGTTATTCTCTTTATAGGAGGGTAGGAATTTTCTGTTTGTAAACCGTGGGTTACTGTCAAGTGGTCATTGGAGAAACATCTTACATGTACACAGAGCATGTGGTGCAGGCACACATCCATAAGGGAGTGAAAGAATTTGGCTTCATTCTTTGCAGAAATGTGGGATTTACGTTGATTTCTCTGGAAGTAGAAACGGTCCTACAGCTACCTCAGAGGACATGCAGTCCTTTGCTTACTCACTTGGGTAATATTTAACCCAAGAATAGCTCCAGGCTCACTGGAAGTGGGTACTTCTTAATAAAGAAACTGTAGTAACAATCATCCCTGGGATTGCATGCTCCATTTCTGGCATTCATTCAGGTATTTTTTTCCTACTCTTAGCTCTTATGGAAAAAACCTGTAATGGTAGAGTAGGAATCTTTTCTCACTGCAGAATTTTGAAATCATGACATCAAATGTATTGTGAAAATAGCTGGCATAGCTTTTGCAAATAACCTGTTTCCTGCTAATTATGGGTTTGGTTGGCTGCAAAGGAATCATTACTATTCTCTTTAGAAGTGGAAAAACTAAATCACAAAGGTCTTGGTGTAGAATAAAAACATTCATTTGCGGAGTCAGTACTGAGTGACTATGGTGCTCCATTGTCACAGCTTATCTCATCCTGGAGCAGCTTCTTCATGGAGCCAAAGAGAAAACGACATCTGTAAAACGTGTGTTTGCTTTAAATTTGCTGTGGGAGAGCTTTTATTGTATGTGTTTAGAAAGTTCTACAGACTGCTGGTAGAGCTTTTTACACCCATCTGGCTGCAGTCCAATTAAGTATGCCCAGACCATTCCCCTGGAACACAGTGTGGGTACATCTCCAGTCAGGTGGAAAAACTTTCTCCTTTAACTGTCACATAATGACCTTATTGTCATGTTTTCATTATTCTAAATTATTAAAATATCAAAGCTCTTGAAATTCTAAGCAAGGGTTGTAAGTAGTCTCTCTTGGGATAAGCAGATTATTAAAATTTGTCTTCCCATTATAAACTGAATCTTGAGAGTGCCAATTTATTATCCATCTCAGGTAAATAATTGACAATAAGGAATAAGCAACAAGACACTGCTTCAATATTTGATGCAATGCCATATAAGATACAATTGTTTCAGCTGGAGAAATTGTGCAAGAATTGAAAAATAGGACTAGCTATTGAAAAAGTAGAACTAGCTGAAGGAAAATGGCAAAATTTATTTTTGAAAAGCGAGTTATTGGGCTAAGAAATTGTTTATTAGTGGAGATTCTCAAGTACTGATCACAGACCACTCTTGTTTAGTATCTTTGGTGAAGACTTTGGGTACAAAGGGACCATTACTACAGAAGAAGACTGAAATATTCTGCCAAAGAGACTGCATGACCTTGCAGAAGGGAATAGAAATGCCATTATTCATAGAACCATAGAGTCATGGGACAGCCCATGTTGGAAGGAACCCTGAGAGATCATCTGCTCCAGCCTTCTGGGGACAAGGGAGGCTAGATGAGATTATCTAGCGTCCTGCCACGACGCCAAGTGTACAGTCACACACTCTAAGAACAATTCACCAGAATTTCTGTCACAAGGTGTAGACTCTTGAGTTGGAAATGCCAACAGAAGGAACGAGCAAAAGCATATTAGCAACTGATGCTGAGGCACCAATGCAGTGGAGCAAAAAGAAGGGAAAATAGACACTCAAATGCATAGTGATGGGGTTATTTCTTTATTTGTGTATCTGTGTTCTTAAAGAGAGAAATATCAATGTAATTATGTGAGAGCCTGGCCAGCCCTCATCTGAAATACTGCATACGTTTCTGCTCAACCAT